AGAAAATCCTCTTCAAGGTGCCAAAGCAGCCCCAGTGATTCTACAGCTCTAGGAACCTTAATGGATTTGTGAGCCAAAGTCAGAAACTGCACTCATACTATGAGACATCTCTGAAGTTCTCTGACTAGTTCTAGTACATTTTCTGACCACAAAACATTTGCTATAGTAGCTTGGAGCTGTTCCAGTAGCTTGAGCCTCTCTCAGCAGTCACGCCTTGACTGACAAAACCACTCCCTCCAAGCATGTCCTGATTTATGGTCTGCTTGTTTATTTTCCCTGATCACTTTAATGCCATTGATATCAGATTGCACTTAACCTTGAATCTCACCTCTTCTGTACTACTGTGTTCGGAACATTCTGCTTGCTTTCTGAGACAAGTCAAGTCTGCTTGATTTGATCCAGGACCTTACCCTTTTTAATTGTTGTGTCTTGAATGGAACATGCTGGCAATGTGAGTCACAAAAATGTGATTCTAGCAGAACTTGGTTTCCCTTCCCTATGTCAACACCAGGAATTCTGCCAGCATGTCTATTCTCACAAACACTCTACTGTTTCTGTTCTTTGTTTCTTCCCTCTCTAGTGTTGAGAATTAAATCTATAATTTTCACACAAATTCAGCCACTGAGTTATACTCTAGCCCCATGGTATCTTATAAATCTATGGTAGATTAGAAAGGTTTGCTAACTGAAGGTAAGAAATTATATTTTCAACATTGGTTGTAAATGATCTTAAATGAGATAACTAAATTCTGTGCCTGTTTGTTTGCAAGAAAACTTCACCCCTTGTTTCAAAAAATGTCAGGTGTCTAGGAGGCCCACTTACGGACATAGGTAGGGCAAAACACCGGCAGCTGTGGGGACACCTACTGGGCCAAGACATATAAGACCAGGTTTGTGGTCACACTGGCAAAGAATCTGAAGAGCTGTGTCAGTAATTTTCATCACTATGACAACATACCTAATAAAGGGAACTTAACAGAGACAAAGTTTGTTTTCCTGACAATATTAGAGGTTTCAGTCCATTGTTTCTGGGCCTGTGGTGAAACAGTACATCATGGACAAACTGCTTACCTCATACTGGGCCAGGAAACCAGCAGACATCAGGAAGTGTCAGGGACAAGTTACATCTTTCTGAGGCATTGACCTACTTTTCCTACTAGGCACACTTCATTCTTCACTTCTGCTCCATAATGTCATATTCTGACACCTTCGAGGGGCTAGTCCATTGATTAGAGTTGAGCCCTCATAATTCCATCTCTAAGTGAGGATTGGCTCTACTAGCTTGAAATGAAATCTTTTAAAAGAATTAAAATAGTAACATTTTAATTCAAAAGTATTTTATTTATTATTTATAATTTTATACATATATAGGATTATCTTGATCATACCACACCCAACTATTCTCTTCTACTGTTCTAGGACATTTGACCCAAAACATGCCTCCCTCATCTTCAGGTCTACCTCTTCTTTTTTTCTTTTTTTAACAGAGTTCAAGTAGAACTGCCTGAAGGCATATAGGCACCCCACCAGTGGCCACACCCTCAAATAAAAATGGCTTTTCTTACCCTAGCACCCATCCACTGCCAACAGCTCTTCAGTGAGGAGTGGAGCCTTGAAAACTTCTTCCCTGTTCATGCTAGAATTATCAACTGGCTTGAACTTGTGCAGATAACTGCAGGTTCACCAGTACAACTACTAGATGTCCAGAATAGTAAAATGTTAACGTTTTATGACTTTTAATATAGTATTTTCCTAATTCTCTGAGAACTTTATATAAGTGTACAATGTATTTGACCTTAACTGTCCTCTTCAACTTCCCAAGTATATATTCTCTGTATTCTTTGAAAAATTATAAAAATCTAATTCACTGGGTATAATTAATACTGCCTATATATGCATGGCATGGGTGTCGGACCATCCACTGGGGAATGGACAACCAACCAGTGCCATACCCCCAAATAAAAGTGACTTACCCATTAATGCCTAGTAGCTCCTCAGCTAAGGGTGGAGCCTCTGGAACCTCTCCACAATCCATGTTGGAATTGCAGCTGGCTTGCTCTTCAGAGGCTTCATGCTCTTGTGACTCCATGAGTGCAGAAGTCGTGCCCTACCCAGAAGTCTGCATCTCACAGCACTCTGCCCATTCCCTCATACTTAGTTTCCTTCCACCCACTCTCCCATGATATTCCCTGAACGTTGAGGGATGGTGACTAAACCTTGAACACATGCGCCTTTGTGAGGGATAACATATGAAGATACTTTATGTCAATGTATGTTCCAAATCATTTGCTTGAAAATCTCCAAAGTGTACTTTAATAGGGAAGATGAAAAGAGAATTTACTTAAAGGATAAGTGAGAATCTTACTTTATCCAACTACAAATAGTACTATAGAGCCTCATAAATTTGAAAAATCCCCAGAAAATTGACTTTCTCTCAGTTTTTCCTCTTCAGACAATACTATTTCCCTTTTCAGCATCTCTCTGTAGGTTAATTTCTTTATGGAGATGGGCTTCTTCTCCAGGTCCTTGCTTTCTGCTCTTGGACAACTTCCAGGTAACATGAGAATTTCGAGCCACTGTGATGTCATTTGACACAAGCCTGACCAGATACTGCCACTTCCATACCCCCAACTCATCAGTGAATAAAACTCCAGGTCTCTTAGTTAAAATTCTTACGAAAGATAACCTGATTGGCCCAGCGAACCTTGAGTTTATATTCCCTGGTTTCTATATGGCAAGCATTTGAGCTTGACGAGTTTATGATCCTGTGGTATAAATGGTAGTCATGGGTATGTTAAGAGGGGAGGTCTTCTTATATAGTGATTAGGGTTAAAGCTGAGGCAATGGTTACCAAACAGTGAAATTACAAAGACTTGGTGACCTATGGAATTCAATAAGTATCCACAGTTACCAAAGAGGCCACTTTTTGGGAGAGTGGGGCAACAGTTCATCTTGTGCAGGTAGCTGCCTAAAATGCAAGTTCTTTTGTATAAATGTGTGAATTGTCATACCAGGAGCAGAATATAGTTCAAAATTTGTTCATTTTCCAAAGGGAAAGTGTAGTTTTTTTTTTACTCTTTATTCTTTACTCTTTAGGGTGCCCACCACCCATCTCCCAAATAAATACACAGAAACTTATTCTTTCGTATGAGTGCCAGGCCTTAGCTTGGCTTGTTTTTAAGCCAGATTTTCTTAAGTTAAATTATTCCGATTATCTCTTGCCTCCAGGCTTATATCTTTCTCAATTCTATATGTCTCTCTTTATTTCTTACTTCAAGGCTTGTTGTGTAGCTGGGTGGCTGGTCCCTAATACCTCTTCTCCTTTTCTCCTTCCTTGATCCTCTAAATGGAGAGAAACTCACAGCGATCCCACTGAAATCAGGAACAAGACAAGGCTGTCCACTCTCTCCATATCTATTCACTATAGATAGAGCCAGAGTCCTTTACAGGACCAACCCTAACCCAGGGACCTCTGCAGGAACAGTTCCAGACCAGGGACAATATCATATATACTCACTCATAAGTGGTTTTTAAACATAAAACAAAGAAAATCATCCTGCAAATCACAATCCCAGAAAACCTAGACATCAATGAGGACCCTACAAGGGACATACATTGATCTAATCGACATGGAAAGTAGAAAAAGATAAGATCTCCTGACTAAATTGGGAGCATGGGGACCAAGGGGACCAAGGGAGAGGGTTGAAGGGGAGGGGAGAGGAAAGAAGGGGAGCAGAGAAAAATGTAGATCCCAATAAAATCAATAAAATTTAAAAAAGAAGCTAGAGTGGCAGTCTTTCTTACATTTGTACACACTGATTCTTCTCTCCATAATGCCCAATTTTTTTTTGTAAATCACCCTATTCTTTACAAAACTGTACTTACTCTTAAAGACCTAGATTAATAATCATGTCTAGAAAGTCTTCTCAGGGTCTTTTAATAGTCATATTTGATAATTTCTCTTTTTAGTCACTGATAATTGAAATAAAATGTCCATATGGACAAGAATCTCATTTAATTCTTCCTTGAACTTTCAACATCTATTATAAAACTTACATGGATTTTAAATTAATATTTATGCTCAAAATCAAACAACCAAGTGCATTGGGTAACAGTTTCACTTTATGCAGGAAGGAAAGCAAAAAAAATCTATTGATCTGGCCACAAAGTCAATGGTGCACATTACATTTAAGACATTGACAATGGGATCACTTGCATTATCCCCATGATTATTTCTCTCAATTAACAGATATATCGTTAAGATTCCTTATGTCTACATTACCACAATCGGTGCTTTTCTGCAACTGCATCAAAATAATAAAACATGAAAAGTCATTCTCTCATCTTGTATATGATTTGTATTTTCAGTGTGACCTTTCTCGCAAGAGTAGTGTAAATTACCAGGAGAGCTTTCCTAACCAATTGACTCATGTGTAATGGAGTCAAGAGACCTACCTTTCAGGATTGCTGTGCAGCTAGGCTGCACGGATACAAATAAGTACGTGCTTTTACTCAACAAGCAGTAGCTTTGTTATTGGGCCAGTGTGGTGCCTAGGGGAAGGGAACAATTTGATTACCAACACAAGTGCAAGTTTTTTCCGTGTGACCATTTGCTAATAGACCCTAAATCAAATGTTAAGCAAGGTCAAGGAGTAGTTACTAACAGACTACTTTTGCTGTGGAGTGGAGGAAGCAAGTAAGTGACCATGGGATCACTCCTGAGGCTGTGCATGACTATCTGCAGCTGACTCAACAGACCGGGTAGCTCTAAACTTCCAGCTTCCAAAGCCACCCACCGGCTTCCCGGCGACTGCCCCGCCCCCTTTCCGGCTCTGGACACGCCTCTTTCCTCCTATTGGTTGGCTTGCACCTCCGCTCGACCGTCGCGAAAACCCGGAGAAGCGGACTGATCCTCAGGAGCGCTCGTCGGGCGCTCGCTGCGCATGCTCGAGGGCAGCTGGATTCCGGGTCCGGACTAGAGGCTCGGAGCGGCCCCGGCGGGGAGGCGCGCCTGTGCGCGGCACGGGCGTCGCGAACACGCCGCGCGTCCACGAGAAAGGGAGGTGTGGGCCCGGGTGGGGTGGGGGGAGGGCCGGGTGTCGGCGCGCTTAGCGTGCGGGATCCGGGTGGCTGCGGGCGGCCTGGGCTGCCCGGCCGACGCCTGCTGCGATATGGCGATCCTGGGCGCGGAGGGCTGAGGAGGCGCCGCCGCGGTGGCCGCGGGCCCCGGAGCCGCAGCTTCGCGCGGGTGAGCACCGTGGGACGCGGGAGGGAGCCTGGCCGGCGGCCGGGCCGGAGTTGGCTGGGGTGGGGTCGCGGGTCTTGCCCCGGGCTGGCCCTGGCACCGGCCTGTGCGGGTGACACCGGAGCCCGGCGAAGTGTCTCGGTGACTGCGGCTCGCTAGCGTTCCTGCTTCCCCGCCTCAGAACTGCTACCCTTACTTTGACCCGGATCTCACCGGCGCAAGCCGGGACGCCAGCCTCAGAACGTCCTTTTCTGACACGTTTTTAGCATTCAGGCTTTTTCACGGACTCTGCACCTCCTCCCACTAACACCCCCGATCTCTACCTTTGGTGACCTGGTAGGTTCAAGTGACCTTGCAAATTTTTCTAATCCTCGTCTTGTGCTTTGGGCCCTTTCCTTTAAATCTTCTTTTAAAATTTAAGTGCTCTTAGAATTTGGTACTTTCCCATCTCCTTTACAGTCTTTAAATGACCAGTTTTGTGTGCCTAAGGACTGTGTGTTCCTTTCCTTTACTCATAGGTTTGGAGTTGAAATTCCTCTTCTTTAAGCGATCGTAAGAAACATTGATTATCAAAAAGAAGGTGTATCTATTATACTCTTGAAATATTTTACTCTTCCACCATAAAATAATCCACAGATGTCTGCTATTTTTTAATTAGATTTTGATCTTTTTGTGTGCTGTAAGATTGAATTTCTACTCTTAAAATGCTGCAAAAAATAACGCTCAGAATTATTTTCCCACTCTCGTTTGGTGGTTTTTTTGTTTTTGTTTTTTTCTCATGAAATACCCATTTTACAGTTGTCCGTAGGTTTCTGCAAGAGTTTATGCTTGTGTATAAATCCACTCGACATGTCTCACCAGGTCAGTTTGTAACTGTTAGTAAAATTCACCTTTTAAAAAAGATATTCTTTCATTTATCTGACTCGTTTTAGCCATGAAATAATATACTTAAACTGACTGAAAATTACCATTTTTAATAAATAGTTAATATTTTAAATTCAAAGTACAGTGACCAAGTGTTGGGATCTGATGAAACTGAGATGTGTGAAGCATGTGATTAACTCTTTGAAACACAGATTTTTCAAATAGTTTTTCACATGACATGTAGAGCTGCCTTTAAGACACTGTGCTTTTGAAACCCAGGCCATGACTGATCAGGTCTCTTGCCTTCAAAGAGATGTAATCCCTCAGTTGCCTTAAATTTCTTTTACATCCTTGCAGTTATTAAGCATGAACCGTATGGCATGGTGGAGTTATTTTGGGGTATATGTAGATGAGGTGATTAGCAGCTTCTCTCTGTACCCAAGTAGGAAGGTATGTATGTTAGATTATACACAAATGCACCTTTTATGTATGAGTAAATAGCAGGATCTCACTATGTAGCCCAGTTTGGCTTTGAACTTGCCATCTTCTTGCCTCAGACCTAAACTCACAGGCCTATACATGCCACCATGCCCAGCATACCTTTGTGTGTGTGTGTTTCATAAATATAAAAGTCTCTCAAATCTAGAGAGGGTAGTTTTCAGATAAGTTAAGGGCTTTTTGTTTTGAAGATGAAGGACTAAGTTTTCGTAAGCAGGGAAAGGTAATTCAAGAAGAAGGATCTAAGAGTATTTGGATGGAGTCTAAAGGATTTATACTTAGGATATAGGGTAAGAAAGCATGAAATAAAAACCAGGACCAATGATAAAATTATTTTTTCTTTTTGTTTTGCTTTCTTTAGCTTTTTGTTTTGTTTTGTTTGAGGCAAGGCTTGCTGTGTAGCTGTGACTGGTCTGGAACTTGCTGTGTAGACAAGTCTGGCCTCGAACTCATAGAGATCTCTACCTCTCTCTGCCTTCAGAGCCCTGGAATTAAAGGGGTGTGTCACCACTCACAGCGTAAGAGTATAGTTAATGTCAGACTAATGACTAGGTTACTAGACAGTGAAGGGTCCACCGATGATTTTTGAGTTTGGAGTGAAACAATTTTAAACCTTCGTTTGGAAGAATTAATCTAGTAGCATTGTGTAATAAGAGTTGAGGTAGGAAGACCCTAAAGATTCATAAACCTCAAGATTTCCATCGTCATAGGTAGCAAGGCTCCGAATAAGTGGAAGGACAAAGAAAGTAGGGTAGAATTTGGTGATCAGGTAAATGAAGCAAGTTAAAACCATTGGAAGATGACTTGTTGGGTGAAAGTACTTTCTGCCAAGTCTGCTGTTTTAATTTCGATAATAGGAACCCACTTGGTAGTAAGGTAATCTATTCCCAAAAGTTGTTCTCCGACCTTCGTACTTGCACAGTCCCAAAAGCACAGAATCTGCTTGCACCCATAAAAGAATTTTTTGAGTCAGAGTCTCACTATGTAGCTGTCCTGGAACTCACTAGGTAGACCAGTCTGGCCCTGAACTCAGATCTGTTTGCCTCTGTCTCCTTAGTGCTGGGATTAAAGGTGTACATACCACTATGCCCAACTAAAGTAATTGTTTTCAAAAACAGTTAAAAGTTTTGATTCAGGTCTGTAGAGAGACTAGTGGTAACATAGAAGAGTTACCCATAGTATGTGTGCATAAGGTTCATAGTATTTGGGGGATTACTAACCCTTGTTGAAACTAAAGAAATCTGTTGGCCATATGCACCTATGCTTTGTGGATGTGATTTTAGGGTAATCCATGGACAACAAGAAGCTCCGATATGAAACCTATGGGCTGTCTGTTGTGCAGCTTTCAGAATAACTGGAGAGTTAGTGACCCTGACTGCAGAAGAATATTGTGCAAGAACCTAGAGACAAATAATGCACTGTGTTGTGGCTCACATTTTCTATCTATAACGTTGCTTTTTATTTGTTATATTATGGAACAAACTTGCCCAAGAGTTTAGTTATCTGTCATAAGTCTAGTTGCAAGTGGTAAAATAGAATCTGGAGTTTGTTGGCAGTGGTGATTTTTTTTCCTTCCTTCCTTTTTTCTTTTGTATGATTTAATGTTGACTGGATATAGTTAACATCTTCCAAGTGAGTCCAGAAGATTCCTCCCAGTTAAGGTGTTATGATTCTTGGGGCGTAGGTTTTCATTGGAATGTCTGTACTCATCTTTCCTTCTGTGTTCTTGAGAACTGGTGAGACTGAGGGATGATACGGGTGAGTGGAGAACAGATAGCAATATCAGTTCAGACACTCTAATTATTACTGTCTATGCTGCTCTCAATTGGGAATCAGGGAAGACATGGTAGAAAAACCACCTGGGGAAGAAGAAACGAAGATCATCTTAGTCTTTTCTGTTTCTGTTTGCCTTACTTAGTAATACGCCTGTCCTTCATTCAGGAGGACAGAAGTGATATGGGAATTCATTTTCAGAGACTTTTCTGAAGAGGATTAAGTAGCTAATTCTCACTGCAGTAGTTACAGCATAGTTTGATTTGTTAAGAGTTGGCTTCTCTGCACCAATGTGCAATTGTTTCTCTAGTAGAAGGGATTGTCTCCCTGTTATGAGTTGGTTTCTTTTCTAACTATAGAAATCTTGACTTCTTAATCATTAGACAGGGTCTCACTGTGCAACCCTGGCTGGTCTGGAGTTCCTTGTGTGGACCTTGAACTCATAGAGATCTGTTTCTGCCTCTCAAGTGGCGGCACCAAAGGCTTGTGTTAGCACACCTTGCAAAATCGTTTTACTTCATTGTATGATGTATTTATAATGAACAGTGGAAAACTCAATAAATTGCCTGTTCAAAGTGGTGTCCAAGGAGCTAGTCCCTAACACAGGTGGAAGAATGTCTGGCCAAAACACAAATGGATTTTCCTTTATTTGCTGATATGGAGATGAATATCTCATGGCACAATATATTTTTTTATTCTTTCTATGATTGTCTTTATACTTTTCATGTGATTCTTGCAATGTGATAATTAGGTGGGTAGAAAGAACCATCATGTTCTAATCTACATGGTTCACTGCAACTTTAAAGGTTAAGTGTCTTGTATGGCCACTTAGCACCCCAGTTTAGAATTAAACTACAACCTACATTTCTGTTCTTAATTCAGTATTTTCTCCACCAGATTTCTGATCTTTTGCCTATGGCGAAACTTTAAAGTTGTAGGGTATATGAGGACTACCTGTCAAAAGTATTTGTAGTCTTCTATGTTTACATGGTAACCTCATTTGATGTGGCTACTGGTTGGTAATTTGGAAATTTATAAATATTTTATCACCGAATAGTTAACCTTTAGTCAAAGATAAAGTAGACATACAAAAATGGATATCCTCTCTAGAAGAAACATTGGTAAAATGTTGACATTAATTTACTTTAGAAAATTTGTTGATTTTTATTTCTGTTTTTGAAGATAAAGTTTGATTATCTTATATAAAAGCATAGCCTTGGAAAAGTTTTGTTTATTTATTTGTGTGTGTAGCACATAAGTCAGAATCTTATTTCAAAGTGGTATTGTGATGTTTTATAATTTTACCATTATATACTCAACTTTATATACTACCCCTCTCCATGTATAAAATATTCTACACTTCGAATTCATACTTAAACATTTTGGTGTTGTAGATTGTTCTTAAAGCAGTATGTCAGATGATTTCTAAGTTACAGTGAAGAGTGGCATGTGTTGCTTTGGCCTTGGCATTTCCTAAGCCTACTGTTTATTCATAACACGTACTGTATGCTACTGTACCTCAGACATTGTGCTAACTGCTGGGGTACAGTTTTGAGACAATATACTAGAAGCTTATTCTCTAGAACTTAGAGCTCATTAAAGACCTTGGCATCAAGAAAAGCACAGACTTTATCTGCTGTTGTTGGTAAAGTAAAATTAATGACACCCTTTCTTTTCCTGTGGTATTTGGGCAAGTCATACAGAAACACAAGGAGCTCAGTAGCATTGTTTCACTTTCCTATTGCTCTGTAGCAGATAACTCTAAAACCAAAACAACTGTCTTACAGCTTACAGGTTGTCCCTCTTGGGTGTTTTCTGGCTTTGTTTATCATCACTACAGTGGCTATATTCAGCTGGCATTTCAGCTG